CGATGTGCACTGCGTAAGGGCGAGTTGGTCTGTGATATAGGAATGCTACGTACGGCAACCCAAATAGGACATTTGATATTCGTAATCAAAAGTGCATCGTTATCTGGCCCTTGCAGAGAAATTCCAAAGCTGGGAAAGACCTTTCAGATGTATCAATAGTTGTCATATAAGAAAAACACTTATCTGATAACAGAGATTTGTTTTTAAATCTACTTTTATATGGAAAATCTTTGATGTAATGTCGCGTTTCATGGATCCTAGGGATGTAACGATATATCGAATATCGTGATATCGCGGTAAATAAATGCCTCAATACCGTCGTGAGACTGACAAAATATACCGCGTTTTTTTTTTAACATTTAAAAAAAAAAAAAACCTTTATTCAACCAGATGGTCCCATTGAGATCATCAATGAGTCCTGTCCAACATGGCAGCAAGTAGGTTACAACATGAACATAAAACAACAGATAACACAAAAGGACATCGTATTTACAGGGCTACATGTACACACCTAGAGACATTGACAAGTACCAACAGTATATCTATATCTCTGTCAATAAGCCTCACCTTCTTGGCAAACACTGTATTGTTTTTGAAGAGGTGGAGAGACAATGCACAGTTTGACCCACTGCTGTCACCCATGGCCAAAGCATGTCTCTCTGTCCCAGCAACATCAGTACCAAGCAAGAGAGTTGTTTCCACAGCAGGGGATTTTGCAAACGCCCAAACATCCCAGCTTCTACCTGGAAATGTGGACATGCTCATATTCCTGAAAGATAACCTTGATGCCGCTGAGTGAGTGAGTTAGAGTTGAGTTACTTGAACAACTAAAGAGAAACTTGATTTATTCTATTGCAGGGTCTGATTATTATATTGTTGACACTTTAAAATACTACTATCTACTAAAATGCTGTACAAATCAGATTTATTATTTAATAAAGAAAAAATAATTCAAGTAAAAAAAAAAAAATTCACATTTCTTTCCTTTGTTTTTCAATATCGCGATAAATATCGTACCGTGGACTTTTTATCGCGATATTATCGTACCGTGAGTTGTTGGTATCGTTACATCCCTAATCCTCAACATTTTAAATGTTAAATACAATTAAAACCATTCACAGTTAAGAATTAGATATTAATTATTAATAATAATAATTAATAATAATAATTCCTTACATTTATTATAGCGCTTTATCAATGACTCAAAGCGCTTTACATATACACACATTACACATATATGATACATGCAATGGTCAGATACTGTGGACAATACCCACAGGAGCAAGTTCAGGTGAAGTGTCTTGCCCAAGGACACACCGGCTTTACAGACGCAGCAGCGGCGGGTTTCACCCCTTGATCTGATGATCATTGCACAGCACACTGCGCCACACCATCCATCTTCACGCCTCGAAGACATCGAGGCGCTTTTACAAGTACACATTAGTATTATACATGTACTGTGGACAATACCCACAGGAGCAAATCCGGGTGAAGTGTCTTGCCCAAGGACACAACGGCCTGACGCAGTGGCGGCAGGAGCGGGTTTCGAACTGGAGTTCCCCAGCACTCCCCCTTGATCTGATGATCGGATGCACAGACCACTGCGCCACCCGTCCCTAGACGGGTGGCGGTATGGCAATGCCATAAATGATTGCATACATTTACAGTTTCTTATTTATCCAGTATGATAGCTTTGTCAAACAGAAGTTAAATCAATTTCTCACTTATCCTAAGAATGTATTGAACCCAATAAAAGGAGTTCTCAAATAGTAGGGAAATTACGTTGTAATAACAATAACTCATCTCTCTCGTTCAGATTAATGTTGTCAGGTTTTTAAAGTTTTTTTCTTATATTTTGCAAAACGCCGCTGTGTCAAATGTCCTACTTGAGTTGCCGTACATTGCTGTCCCATATGGCGGACAAACTCACAAATTGTGTATGTTTTCAGTTCAGTTCTTGTGTGTTTTCTTTCAGCAGGATCATGGAGTAAATACCGGCCCAGTGTTCATAAACATGTGTGGTAGTGATACTTAATGTTTAAGGGCAAGGGTTAGCATAGCAAGGGCCAAAGGAAAAACTCATTATATTTTGGAGTGGACCCAAATTATAGCGTTGAAGATTATTTTCATAAAATGGCCGTAGCTGCTTTTCTTATCGCTTTTAATTTCTGTCCTGTTTTTACCTGTTAGACTTACGTGTTAGATAACTGAGGTAAAGTTGCAGCCTAGACAAGCAACACAGATATTTGTGACACATAAAACATTTTTTTTAAATAATTTAACAAAGGTAAATTGCTGGAACTTCATCAGAGTTTGCTCTCAATTCGAAGGTCCAGATGAAGCAGAAAGGACAAAACTCCCCAATAAATGAGTTAATTTGTTCAGGCGTTAGAGTTGTGAATTGACTTTAATGTGTTTTGGAAGAAGTTAAAAAATTTAAATTGAAGACTGTCCAACAAACAAACATTAACATCCTTTAGAATCTTTACTTGCTATTACAAAGAGACGTTTCCAATCCCAACTCATGAGACTATTTAATGAAGGGTTTGTGTTGCTGGCAGAGCATCCAGTTCAAAGGAGACTTAAAGAAGTAAAATCAATGCACTGCGTTATAAATACTGCACGAGAGTAGAATAGAGACTGTTTGAGATGTAATAAATGAGACTAGAATCACAACGCAGAAAGAACATTGCAAAAGGGTGGGGTTAATAAAGCCAAGGGTTCATCTGGTAGAGTTATGTAACACACACAATGTTAAACTTGATGTTACTCTTAATTGGTTAACTCCATTAATTCCACCAGCCAAAGGTTCTGGCTACCGCTCGTTAAGTCAGCAGTAACAGTGCGAGCTAATTTCAGCTCATTCATTAAATGACATTGCGGGGACAGAACGGCTTAATTACATGATGGTTATTGTAAGCCGTGTCCCAGGTGGAAGCCAGTGACTCTCAACATGTTAATATTTCATGTCATGTTTCATAATTTAACGCTGACACAATTGGCCATGCATGGTGGCACAACGGAGCACAAACTGTCAGGATGGGATTTGCCTGACCTTTAAATTATACCCATGATATATCATAGTTAAACATTCAGACATGAACTCACAATTCAACTTGTGAATAGGAAAACACATTGGTCTGATTCACTATAAAAACTCAAAATATTGCCCAGTATCTTAGTCCGAGGGGTAGACCTAGGACCAGGCGGAGGGATTATATCTCTTCGCTGGCCTGGGAGCGCCTTGGGATCCCCCAGTCAGAGCTGGTTGATGTCGCCAGGGAAAAGAAAGTTTGGGGCTCTCTGCTGGAACTGCTAGCCCCGCGACCCGACCACGGATAAGCGGGAGAAGATGGATGGATGGATGGATCTTAGTCTAACATCTAGTCAGAATATGTCTCTACTCCTGATATGAGACACAATAACTTCAGAAGTGACACTGCAGTGAGATATCAGGTCTTGCTTTTAGACAATGCATGATCTTGTTCAGTAAAACAATCTTATTTTGAGTTGTATCTCAGATGAAACAGATTTATTAGAAACTCACCAGCTACATGTAACATCAGAAAACAGAACACTTTTGAGCATTTGCGGCTTATTTTGTAACAAAGCATTTCCTGATTCTGGTCAAATATAGTTCACAATGAGTTCTCCAGATAATTACAAGATGTGATTTATCTAAATATCCCTTCTTATTTCAAGACATCTTACCACGCACATTTTCACTTGCTCTATTGGCAGACCTACTTATTTCAATTCAGAACAGCTTGTTTTCATTATTGTTGAACTTGTTTTTGGAGAAGCATTTTCTCCAATGTTCTGTTCTAAATTAGGAGTGTTATAGATATAGAGCAGGGGTCGGAAACCTTTTTGATATGAAGTGCCATAAAAAAATAATAATTGGGATTAGTGTGCCGACGATCGTGAACTGCCAGCAGGGGGGGGGGGAGCCTCGCTGCGGGGAAGCAGGACCTCTTTCACCTGTCAGCGCAACTTACATGATGCCGTTTGAACACATTTAAATAATTGGTTTAAACGGCATAATAATAATGACGACCGTCCGTTCTGTGATTCTCCAGAACCCACAGATGGCCAGTCCGCCCCTGTGTAGAATGTTATTTCGATGAGAGATGAGCAGATCGCCACTGGGCTTTCAACTACAGACACAGCCACGCAGAAACCGCGGCATGTGCAGCTCCTTATGGGTACTGCAATTAGTGAAGTGCTTTCCTCCGTGGTGAAACGATCAGCAGTGCACCACGGAGGCAAGCAACACACTCTCACTCCATAATCGTCCAGGAGCGACGTTTGGTCAGTGTCCGTGGCGTGCAGTTGTGACGCTCCTTGGCTCCTTCAGCTTCATAAAGGGACGCAAATAGCTTTAGAATTGTACACCCGGAAGTAAGTATTCCCCTTACTGTCGATTGATTTTACAGTGATATCTGCACTACTCATCGACTAAAAAACACCAGATTATCCTTGATAATTACACAACATTGATTGGTTTAAATTGTGTGCAATGCTTTTGTATTTTCCCCTTCGATTCGGAGAAACAAATATTTTTTCGGAGTAAAGGATGGCAGAAGACACTACACTACCCAGAATCCCCAGCTATCGTTTAGGACTACACCAGCATTGGCAAGCGGCAGAAAGTCGCCTGGAGATAAAGAGAGCGGGGCTGCGTTGCGTGCATGGCTTCCTTCTGCAGGTAACGGGGAGACGCGCTCTGGCGGCGGTCTGGTTCAGGATCCGAAAATACAATTTTAATATTTTGCACACTTATTCCACTTATTCTAGTGAGCCACTGGTTACGGTGCCGCGTGCCAATGCTGGTTGCCGACCCCTGATATAGAGTTTCAACTTCTCCTACACATTGTTTGCATGTTCTGCTATAAATCACTCCGTTTAGTAACATGTATGTTGGAGACCCAAGCTCCGGTCACTCTGTCATTCCTCTGACATTCAGCAGGGATACTATAAAGTGAAGAGGAGGTCCTCACCCTGACATGACGATGAAGAAATCCAGTCGGTTCCACGTGTCCCCGAGGTAACAGCGGCGCCCGAAGATCCCCAGAGCGAGCATCTTTATAACCATCTCCAGAGCGAAGAAGATGTAGATAAAGACGTCAAAAGCCTGACAGGAAGACAAGGGGAGACAATGAGGAAAGGTGTCAAGCATATGAAAAAAGGAGCTTGGGGCGCCACAAACAACACATTCGTCACCACTGCTAAGGTTTATAGATGTCCTCCTCTTCCATTGGTGATGCATGCATTGTTTGTCTGACTAAAAAGCAGACACACTTTGTGAACACCACTCAGGGAATTGAATAGGCTTGAGAGGAAGCAACAACACCTTCACTAAAGCGTCGCTAAGCCTGTGTTGTAAAGAAAACTTTCTTTATTTCACAGTATCCATTTACAGAAGCAAAAACACATGTTATACATCTCCAGGTGAGTTGTGTGAATAAGGCACCCATCATTAAAGCTATCGTCATTCCCCAGTGTTTCAGTCCTAGTCCCACACCTCCAAAGTATTTCCTGTGTGTGTTGTATGAAAGGATGGAGTCCCACATGTCAATGGACAAATAATCCGTGATGCAATGTCGGCCAATTACCTTTATAACCTGGAAGATGTTGACTTAATGAGTTTTAAAGGTGTTGTGAGGGAATATTTCTGTCTTTACTCCTAGATATTTAACCTTTTCTGTGTGTTGACATTTACGACCAAAACTGGCTCTGTTATCTCTCTTAAGGAATGGGAGGCTCCAGCTATCTTGAAAAACCAGTTCAACACTCGGTCACGAAATGGTTTACGGCTGTGGGAACGCTGGCTTCGAGGCCATTAAGGGTCAGACGCAAGTGATTCAGGGTGCCCAGCTGTTTAGTCTATCTCCCCAAATATGTTGTTTACTCTCTCTGAACTAGTTAAAAGGTTTATCGAGAGAGAGGCGCGGCAGAATTGACATGGCAACCCACCAGTGCAGTCAGAACCTTTGACTGTGTGACTTGTGATGTGAATTTCTCCGGCCGATACTTGTAAATAAACATCAGTGTTTGACATCAAAGCTCCAACTCTCCTCGTGTCTCTCTGAGTCCTGACTCTCCATTGCTGCAGAAGTTTCCCTTACAGGTGTAGTATTATTTTTAATATGTAAATAAATGATTGAGGCCTTCTTGTTATTGTTTGATGTTTAACGCTGTGTTTATTTCTCTGATTAACCCGTTGAATTACATTTTCAGAGACCTGACAATGACCTAGTCGGCCAAGTTGTAATGAGAGGGTAGCGGGATTTTCATTTTGTTTGTGAAAGAGCTTTCCAAGTGTGGTGTTTTATCACCTGCATATCACCTTTCAACAAGGCTAAATACACTGAACAAAAATATAAACGCAACACTTTTGTTTTTGCTCCCATTTTTCATGAGATGAACTCAAAGATCTAAAACATTTTCTATAAACACAAAATAACCATTTCTCTCAAATATTGTTCACAAATCTGAAAAAATCTGTGATAGTGAGCACTTCTCCTTTGCCGAGATAATCCATCCCACCTCACAGGTGTGGCATATCAAGATGCTGATTAGACAGCATGATTATTGCACAGGTGTGCCTTAGGCTGGCCACAATAAAAGGCCACTCTGAAACGTGCAGTTTTGCTTTATTGGGGGGGTCTGGGGGGGTCCGAAAACCAGTCAGTATCTGGTGTGAGGGGTAGGGTTAGGGTAATGTTGTGAATCGAGTGGCCCATGGTGGTGGTGGGGTTATGGTATGGGCAGGCGTATGTTATGGACGACGAACACAGGCCACTCGATTCACAACATTACCCTAACCCTAACCCTCACACCAGATACTGACTGGTTTTTGGACCCCCCCAGACCCCCCCAATAAAGCAAAACTGCACGTTTCAGAGTGGCCTTTTATTGTGGCCAGCCTAAGGCACACCTGTGCAATAATCATGCTGTCTAATCAGCATCTTGATATGCCACACCTGTGAGGTGGGATGGATTATCTCTGCAAAGGAGAAGTGCTCACTATCACAGATTTTTTCAGATTTGTGAACAATATTTGAGAGAAATGGTTATTTTGTGTTTATAGAAAATGTTTTAGATCTTTGAGTTCATCTCGTGAAAAATGGGAGCAAAAACAAAAGTGTTGCATTTATATTTTTGTTCAGTGTATGAGTGGAAATGTATACACTACATCTCTTCTTTGGTAATTGGATGAACCAACCCTCAAGTTTCAGTTATTGGTAGACTACTGGGGGTAGGAGACACTTTCAATCATAAGCTTAAAACTCCATACGAGGTGCAAGATGAATCCAAGACGTCACAACAAGAAGAATCAAATTGTTATAAATCTGCTAAACATAATTATTTTCTCATATCTTTGCATTTTCTAGCAAAAATAACTGCATCTTCTTTTGACCTATAATACTGTTGGGATTGTCTCAGTCTGAGAAAAGGAGGTCATTTGTTCGGTGAACTGCTCACAACATGTGGAGATGAGAAATAAAATGGAAAAACACCAACTTGCTGATGCATTGGGTTCATCCCGACTGCTGACAACAACACATGATAGAAAAGCTGCGTTTGATGACTCATCTTCATCAAATGGACACTTTGGGCCGATGCAAAGCTGCAGTGAATGAACTCAATCATCTCAGGGAGGCTCCAGAAATACCAACGTCGGAAAATCAGCTTAAAAATGTCTTGAAACACAGATCTATGAATCTGGGCATTAGGCAAGGCAACTGTATTTATATAGCACTTTTCCGCGCGTGGCGATTCAAAGTGCTTTACAGATTAAAAGCAAAAGACATTTAAGAACAAATACAGCATAAATACATTATTAAAAAGGCATTTAAAAACAGGCATAAAAAGCAAAGATAATGAAATGAAATAAATAAATAAACACAGCAGGTACAGAATAGCAATGGCATCTATGGAGGTCTGAAGTCATCTTTCCTTTCGCATTGCATCTCCACACACGCCACCTAACTGAAGGACTTTATGTGTACTATAGATATAGAACGATTAATCATTACTATAAAGATAGTTGATTATGTTTCTGTTGAATGGCTCCTTTTGGGAAATTAATTAATTTGTCAAGTTCAAATAAAAAGCTTCCCAGGTATGAGAGTTTGATGCATTTGTTGGTATTTCTTTAATCTTTGTTGTATTGAGTCAGGCACAGCGAGTTTACATTTATACAGTCAATATTTTTATTTATTTCCCCTTCCCCCCCTCCCGGTCCTAGCTAGTAAATCAAATAACTAACTAAATAAAATAGATACATGAATAGGTTAAAGTAAAGTAGAAGATAATATTAAAAGAAAATGTATAGATAAGGGAATAAAGAATAGTAACAGTAATACATGTATATACTCACATACTCATACCCACATATACACATACGTGTGTGTACATACCCACACACATGTACACATGCACATACATACACGTACCTACATACATACATGTATACAAAGACAGAACAAATAAATACAAATTAATATAACAAAAACAACATACATTCGTAGTTCCCCCCTTTCTCCTTAATGTAGTGTCTTCAGTTCAGCTATGTAGGCTTTCATAGAGCCCCAGACAGATTCAAATAGTTTTGAGGAGCCCCTCAGGTTATATTTAATCTTCTCCAAGTATTTCTTTAATCTAGTAAATACAAATACGTTTTCACTTTGAATTATTGTAGGCAAAGAGGCCACATGGAGTCCTTTGAAATGATCAGGCCCATTGTTCACTATTTTCAGACATCTTGACAAAAACGGTCTGAAAAGTATTCGTGATGACTTGATTCAATGACAAGCTGATTGATTTTCTGTTGAGTGGTTAATGGCATCTTTTTGGCAAACATTCGCTGCTTTCAGCTCATTAGATTTAATAGTTTGATTGTAGTTTTGCCAATTGAATTTGGAATTGGATTTGGATGTGAGGCGGCCACATAGTGTCTTCTACAGATACGTATTTATTGCACATATTTCACTATTTCCAGATATTGAAGAGGCCAAAAAATCCGATAGATAATCGGTTGAAAAAAAAGGGCTGCAAACTAGCAATTATTTGTATTGCACTAATGTACATTTCTCAAAGTTATTGAAGTGATATTTTGTATATATTGATTGCTGTGCTTTTTTGTCATGTCTTAATGTGTGCGTATAAATATGTCTTTTGATTGTGTATATATAGGTATGTACATTTTTATATATTTAGTTTTTGTATTTGCGATTGTGGGAAACCGTATCTCGATCTCTCTGTCTGTACACACCAACTGAAAGATTGACAATAAAGTTGACTTTGACTGACTTTGAAGACACTTCTGTATGACGAGCAAAGGCAGGCTGTCCTGAGGGTCAGATTCGGATTCAGACAATGATTTTAGCTTTGTTTCCAAGACATCAAGTCAATCGCCCTATTGGGGATGAGAGGGGGGGTTTCACCCTGTTAACATCGTATTGTAGTGAAGGTGAGGGTGTACCAGGAAACTTGTAAAAGGCAAGACAGGTTTGACTTCCTCCTATTTGTTTACTCCACTTCTTTCCCTGTCTTTCTCCGAGTCTTCTCTCAATCGTTACCCTCCCTCTTTCCCTCCAAACGCAGCTGCCAATGTCTTACTTCCATCTCTATTCCTACAAACATTGTATTTATATTCTTTCCGCTCTCGTTCCCTGACAACTTCATATCTCCGTTTCTCTTCGCAAAGCGACTTATCTCCATTAAACCTGTATTTTCTCTCCCCAGTTGAGCAGTTTGCACTAAACGCCGGGGTAATGGGAAATAATTTGTTTGTGCAGTAATCAGAGATAAGGTTCACATCGACTTCCCCCAAGCCCCTCCCCCACTTCACTCCCAGCTTTAATCAAGCTTCTAATTAAAAGACGAGAGCAGAAAAATCCAAATAAATCAAAGATCGCAGCTTGCTAATGCGTGTTATTGCTGTTGTGAGCAGAAAGCCCAGATTAGCTGCTGTTCTTCTCCGTGTGTACAGGGGGATGAGAGACGAACTGACGCGCTCACCGTTGCCTGTAATTTGATTTTCAGAGAGAAGTACTTAGGCTACATGATCTGAATCCGAACCAATTATGTGATTATTACTTTAATAATAGTACTCAGCAGTCCTGG